TGCTAAAATTTCTACTTTGCTGTTCTCCTGTGATCTTCCTCGCAAGCTCCCTAGCACATAACTCCCTGGCTGGAACGTGCATAAGACCTTGTCTACCCATATAATCTGTCCAACTGAAATGAGCCCAGGGCGGTTCCCGTACCAGGCGCTGGGGTTTAAGGCCAGACAAGGTTAAATGATCAGTAAGGGCCACGTTTCTAGTCACGACCCTCGGAGGAGCTGTTGGAATAATCCCCCCTGAGGGAAGGGGCTTCTGCTCCCTCTCGCCAAGGCTTCAGATCCAGACCGCAGGCCTCCGGGAAGATCTGTTAGTCCTGGCCTGGGTGGTCCAGGAGGTCAGATGAGATGATCTGATGGTCCCATCTGGCCTTAAGCTAAGAATCTATAAATATGGGCATCTCCTCGCACGGATGCTGAGATACCAGCGTGAAGGAGTTTATATCCGAGTGGTTTGTCTCAGTACAGGAAAGGGGATGATCTTTTCTGGGATAACTTAGCTCATACCAGTATAACTAGATGGGTTAAAAAAAATCACACACACACACACACACACACACACACACACACACACCCTCCCCCGACAGAGCTAGAGCAATACAACCCTGTGTGGTACGGCACTGGCACTACAGCGAGTAAGCGTGTGCGTCACCGTGCTCAGAATCAGGGCCGTTCCAGGGCTGGAGGATTCCGGACTACTCTACATTCTCCTCCCCCCTCACCGGCTTCTCCACTGCCGAGACAAGGCAAGCGCCAGAGTCTCTCCCCCGCCTGTTCGTGAGTCACCTGGGATCAGCGCCAGCGCCTGCCTCTGTGGCTGCCCACTACTCCCCATAAGCTGCTGCCTGAAACTGATGCCATTCTCGACAGCTTCACTGATATTCCCAGGTTGTGAACAGCCCCGTGACGCTGACCTGACTCATTAATGTCAATCTGCTGCTGCTTGCGGCTTTCCTCAGACGCAATAGAGGGACTGGGGTTAACTGGCTGCAGAATCAGGGAAGCAGCACTGGGTCTGTTCGCATTTTGCATCCATGCCAGCTCACCCTTTGTTTTTAGAACATAAATTCTCTGGCACTTGCTTCCTAATCCCCGGAGTAAACCTCCTACTTGCCACGTGCGTGAGTTTTTTAAAGTCACATCAAAATGCAAGGAAGGAGAATGGAATGGATGTGGCGCGAGAGGGATTGTGTTTGACTGTGACTGCTGGATTTGGGCAGCCAGGTTAGTGACTTCGGAGATGCACTAGCCAGTTGTAGGCTCAGAGAGTCCGTTCCAGTGGAGCGTTCATAGATTCGTTGCCGTCTTTCTTTTAAATAGAGGCCATTCGCACCAGGTTGTAGGTTGACACGGGTAAGGAGTGGGGAATGGTTAAAGGTGGCATGTTCCCCTTAGTCCCCTGAATTCAGACAGCTCCTTTCCCGATGAGTTCAGGTTTTGGGATAGATGCGTGTGCTGCTTTGGGGGATGTCAAGGAGTAGAAAGTCTCCTTTTCTGGTCCAAGTTAGACAAGTTGGCTAGTTCTGAACTATTTCTCCTGCTCCCAGCCACAAATAGCCCTGCTCCCCTAAAAGAGTTTCTCCGAGCTTTTGGGGGGCTGTAAAATACAAATGTTAAAATTGCTTTGGTACATCCACAAAATGTAATGGAAGCCTGGGTGGGCCTAGCCATGGGGGATCCAAGGGGACTTGGCTTTGCCTTTCAGACCCCACTCCCCACCCTCTTGGGCCAGGAGGGCTTTTTGTCACCAATCCCAGATAGTAGGCCCTTGGTCTCCGATCAGTGCAATTTTCAGTCCAAAGAAACGAGACTCTCCCTGCCCCTGTGGTGAGCGAGCTCTCCCTCCAGGCTCTCTGGTTTTCGTTCCAGATGTGTGTAAGAACTGCCATCACATGATAGCCAGACACGAGTACACGTTCAGCGTGGTGGACGAGTACCAGGTACGTTGTCTTGTCGTTACCATGGAGCCACAGGCTCAGACCCCCGCGTTCGAATCATCCTTCAGCACGCCGGGCCCCCACGGGGTCTCGCTCGTCCCTGACAGCAGGCTGCCTGGCTTCCCCACTCCTTCGACTGAACCGTTTCAGCTCCAGCCCTCCTGCTTCACCCTGTGAGCTCTGCCCAGTGAGTCCAGCTGAGCTGGATGCATGGGAGAGACGTGCCCACTCTGCAGGGGCTGTGTGCGCGCTGACGCTCAGGGCTACCAAAACAGCTGGGTTTACGAGTCAGTGCACGGGAGGGCCGTAGGGGAGCACAGAGAAATGAAGGGTACCGCTGTACCAAGCCCATCCTGCTCCACCCAGAGCCCAGCCAAGCTTTGTTCAGGCTCTGTCTCAGTCCGACCTCTGTGGTCAGTTCCCACAGGAGAGCCCCGACTCCTTCCTACAGCCAGCTCTTATCCTTCACCTTCCTGGTCCTCTGCCATGAGAACAAAGAGCCTTTTTCCCCACTGGTTTTGCCATGCAAAATATGGGGGAAACTAGGGGGCATAAAAACATCACCCCCTAAATGTTATTTACTTATTCCCACTAAGGGTCACCAAATGAAATGAATAGGCAGCAGTTTTAAAACAAACAAAAGGAAGTTTTTCTTCACTCAGCGCACAGTTAACCTGTGGAACTCCTTGCCAGAGGATGTGGTGAAGGCTAGAACTTTAACAGGGTTCAAAAAGGAGCTAGATAGATTCATGGAGGTTAGGTCCATCCATGGCTGTTAGCCAGGATGGGTTGGAATAGTACCTAGCCTCTGTTTCTCTGGAGGTGGGTGACAGGGGAGGGATCACATGAGGATTTCCAGGTGTGTTCCCTCCCTCTGGAGCACCTGGTATTGGCCACTGTTGGCAGACAGGACACTGGGCTAGATGGACCTTTGGTGTGACCCAGAATGGCCGTTCTTATGTCACTGAAAATCCCCCCTTTGTCACACATGCAGCAATCACAGACACCACACTCCTTTGTTCCTACGAATGCCTTGAGACTTGCAAAGCCCAGGGAGTGGGGTCCCGGAAGCACAAGGTGCCCCGAAGTCCACAGCAGCCGGAGTAGGAAGTTGAGCTCTGTGGGTTTCCGTCTGGAGCTGCTCTTGCTTTGTAGGCTTCTGCAGGCTGTAGTTGCGGTGGGGCCCGTGGGGAGGTGCCCTGCGTCAGCCAGGGGAAGGGTCGAATTCGCTGCCCTGCCTGGGCTTGCTTAGGGCAGCTTCACTGCCACCTGGGGCTTGACTTCCCAGCTGGGCGCTCCACGCTGCCACTGCTGCGCTTCCGCCCACTTGGCTTGGTCCCCGAGTCGGTCGACGGGGGCACCCTGCGGATGAGCGTCTCTCCAGCGCATCCAGGCAGCACAGGGGTTGGACTCTGTATCCCCCTGTGCATGGATGTAGCGGTTAGGGAACACAAGTCTCCTTGGGGAGGGTCTGTTTCCAAAAGCACCTATGTGACTAGTCCCACGGACTTTGAATAGGACTTGGGGTCCTAACTCCCTTAGGCGCCATAGAGAATCCCAGCCCGAGTGCTTAGGACCCGATGCCACGGGGGCAGGGCTGAGCACCTCCCACCCACACTCACACAGAGCGGAGAGAGCGCAGGACCCCGCTGAATCAGGCCTTAGGGTGGACACCCCGCCAGCACGCCTGCTGGAAAAGCCACAGCTGTTCATTTCTTATGCACAGAAAAGTCCGCAGGGGTCTTCAGGTCGAGTCCAGCCTAAGAGGCAGCCCCAGGCCCACAAGCCTCCGGCCCGATGGGTGTAACCCGCCCCCTACCCTGGCTAGCTGTGTTCTCCCTCCCCCTTGGCACCGGGTTTGGCAGCCCGGCCTGTGCAGCATGGTGGGAGACGGCCAGACCGGTGGAGGCAGATGGGGAGCAGGTGGGGCTGGAAGAGGGGACAGCTCGGGCGGACCCTGGATCCCCCCCCGGCAGTGGGCACAGCTGCACCTCAGCAAGAGGGGCCGGGTTGCCGAGTTTGGCAGTGCGTCGGCTGGACAGGCGGCTGTGGGGCATCCCAGCGCTGTGGGGCCGTTGCTAGCGGCTCTGAGGTGCACCTTCAGGCTGCCCGCCCCAGAGGCAAAGCCAGGGAAGTGGCTGGAGCCAAGCTGGGGAAGCTGGAGTTAGCCTGTGTCTGTTCCACGCCCGCCGTTGCTGGAGCGTGCTCTGATTCTGGGGTTGGGCGCCGTGTGTGAGCGCCAGAGGGAGCGAGTGGGCTCGGCTGTGTATTTCCGGAGTTGTCCCACCTGTGAGAAGCCTCCGCTCCTCTCTCCCCTTCTCTCTGGGAGGGGCGTGTTTCTGTCAGGCCCAGACGCCCCGCACCCCGGGATACCTAGAGGCCTCTGTATAAAGCTGATCCCGGCTCTGCTTGCTGCAGGGCTGGGCTGCTGGGCCACCGTGGGAGCGCTCGTCTGTGTGGGGTGGCCGATTCCCTGTGCAGTTGGCGGCATGAAAACAAGGCCAGCGGTTTGCAGCCTGGACGGCTAAAAGCTTCAGTGGCCTTGTCCTTCCCTCCTGGCGGTGCCTGCATTGCCCAAGCCAGCATGGCGCTGCCTGGCCATGGTGTGGTGAGCCTCCGGGGAGAGGAAGACCAGCCACCTGCAGCTCCTGTGAGCCCCAAGTGGGGAAGTGCAGGTCTGGGCCCGAGGGGCGCTGCGAAGCAGAGGAGGGTTTGTCATAGTGTGGGCCCCCAGCTGCCATCAGTCAGGTGTGACTAGGAGGGGGACTGGGGAAAAGGAAAATGGAGCTGGGTAAATTCCTTGCGCCTCTAACCCTGGCCCTTCCTCTAGGGGAGGCTCTGGTCACGTTCCCTGGTGCGTAGTTATTTGGGAGGCGAGACCTGCACTTTGAACCAGGAATCTGTGAACAAACCCAGCTCCCTGTCCCAGGTCTTGCGCTTCCCCGAGCAGCGTGTTCCAGGGCAGCCCAATGCAGCCTCCGGCGACTAGGAACAAGGGCTGCAGCCGGGGGAGCGGACACTTGGACAAGCTTTGTGCTCTGGGTGCAAACCAGGTGGACGAGCCCCAGGACCACATGTGCAAGCAGAGAAACATGCAACAGGCACAGGGAGGTGACGAGGCCTCTTTGGCCTGGTAGGCTGCAAAGGGGACAGCTCAGAAAAGAGCGAAGAGGAGGAGTCCAGCTCTGAAAAGCTGCTTCTAGCGGAGGCTGGACGAAGCCCACTCGGTTTTGTTTGCCCAAGAGACGGCGGAGCAGAGACTTGATCACGGTTCCGCAGGGCAGATTTCTGCGAGCAGGGGCCCTGTGATCTGCCAGAGACCGGCCGCGCGCGCTCCCGGGGCTAGGCGCCCCAGAGGGACGTGTTCAGATTGGAGGGTGCCAGTGTTTAACAGGGAGGGACGTTACCCATGGACCACAGTCTGACCCAGGGGCGGGGCGGCTGGCACCCCGGGCTGGGTGGTCTCTGCAGCTCGGCTCTGGCTCAGCTCGCAGTTCTGGATGCGGGGGGTGGGAGGTTGAGGCAGGAGGCCAGTCTTGCTGGGCAGAACAGGCCCTTCTGGGCTCGAGATGCCCACGGGCAAGTCCCCTTCCCAGGTAGAGGTGCCGACTGTTCAGGGATACTCTGTGCCCCTCCCCCCAGCTCCACGCTGACTTTTCACGCTTGCTGTCTGCTCGCCTGCTGCGTCTCCCGACGCTTTCCTCCTGATGCTGGTCCCAGGCAGCTCCCAGCTGCGCTGCTGCCCTGCCGGGCATTGCGTGGGAGCCTGGGCGCTTTGTCTGGAGAGGGAGAGGAGGAGGCTGGAGGCCCCTGCCAGGCTGAGGCTGGATGCCCCAGTTCCTGGGGCGTTTTAAACTGGAAGAGACTCCCCTGCTGAGTAGCTGGGAGGGAGCAATGCAGCCTGGCCCCTGGGGGAAACCAGCAGGCCCCATAGGTCTGGTCTGGCCGCCAGGGAGGCGTTTTGCCGCTTGCCTGGCTCGGGCACCCGTTCGGTCTGTGGCTCTGGGGGGCAGGCTCCCTGCCAGCTGGGTGCAGGCGTTTCCTTGCTCTCTCAGGCCTGCACAAGTCCCCCGGGGATGAGCCAGGCAGGGGCAAGCCGCCAGCTAACGTGCTCTGGGCGGCCGTCCAGCGTGGCACTCGCTTGGGCGTGCTGTGTCCTGGGGACAGGCTGTGGAATCTCTGCCCCCTGGTGGCCCACTGTGGCACTGCTCCTCCAGCCTCAGTTTCCCTCCAGGGCTTCGCTGCTCAGCAGCCCCCTGTGGTGTGGTGCCACAGCAGCCCTGCCCCCCAGAGGGGTAGCCAAGCTGTGAAACAAATACAAGGAGCTCAGAACAGAGGGTCGGCCGGGCCCGTTAACTCTTGCCTGGGCTCTCAGGGTCGGGCCCTGCCCCATGTCCGGCAAGGAGGCCCTAACCCACAGCCAGTGAGAGCAGATCTGCTTCCCTGCCCAGGCTGGACCTTCTGCCTTCCTGCCCCCGCTAGACTTAACTCCTCCCTCCTGGCCTGACCCTGCATCGGGTGTAGTGGGGTGGGGCTGCCTGGTCTCCGTAACCCCTCTGTGGCCAGGGTGGGGGTGCGCCCCCCCGTCCCCTGCCCCAGCCCAAAGGAGTGTTGCCCCCGGATCCCCGGCCCCGCCTGACGCGCGCTCTCGTTGCAGGAGTACACCATGCTGTGCCTGCTGTGCGGCAGGGCCGAGGACTCCATCAGCATCCTGCCCGACGACCCTCGCCAGGCGGCCCCCTTGTTCTGAGCGTCTGGCCTCCGTCCTGCACCTGTTCTTGCCAGCGCCATGTCATTAAACACCTGCCTTGTGTTGGGACTGAGTCGCCCACAGCCTGGCGCCCTGCACCCCCTCACTGCCTCGGCCCCCCGCCTGGCA